GGTGATGCATGACTAGACTGATATGATCAAGGTGATGCATGACGAGACCGTTATCATCAAGGTGATGCATGACGAGACCGATATGATCAAGATGATATATGACGAGACCAAATATGATCATGGTAATGCATAGCTAGACCGATATGATCAAGGTGATGCATGACTAGACAGATATGATCAAGGTGATGCATAATGAAACAGAGAAGATCAATATGATGCACGACGAGACCGATATGATCAAGGCGATGCATAATGAAACGGAGAAGATCAAGGTGATGCATAATGAGACCGATATGATCAAGGTAATCATGACGAGACCGATATAATCACGGTGATACATAGACTTCCAGATAACTCTGGGATGAGTTTTAGCTCTCTGATCAAAGTGTTTGTTTGAGCTAAGAATTACTCAACCAGACACAGCATTGTCCAAAATATGGCATCCTCGTGTCCATATCTTTTTTGGGGAGCTACAATATGACTTAGTATGGCTGGACCCTGTGCCTGCCATATTATTTTCTTTGAACAGAGACTAAACATCATTTATGCTGTGGTTAGACCTAAACGTCATACGGTCACAAACGATTGACCATTGGTCAAAGTTGAACCTGCTCCTGGTTAGAGTACCGCATTATAAACCTGCCAGAATATAGTATATACATGCACAATAATTTCGCTTTTGTTTGCATTTGGATTCATTGAAAGGAACGTATATAAACGGACCTAATTAATGCTTTGGCACGAAAATCTTGCAACCCGTGCAACAGTGGCAGACAAAGACAAGCGACACCTATCAGTAACGTTTAGTAGTAAATTTCTTTACCAAAATTGTTCATGATGTAGATCTCTCGGAATCACGTGAGAGTCTAGTTAAACGTGACTAGTATTAGTGCTTAATGCGATGCGATGGTCTACGCCATTTTGCCAATTGCTTTCAGGTTCCTTCGCATATTTATTCCTGTTTTTCAAACCTAACTTTTAAGTACTGGATTGAACTTCATACGGATGTAACTAATGTTGTTTAAATTATTTTTTGCACAACTACGCAAGCATGACTAATGCAGAAGTGGCATACTCAGCTGGCACTTTTGTGCGGGCTGAACTATAAAGCATGTGCAAGTCTTTGTAGCCTCAGTATGCTATGTCCAACTTTTATGACATTTCTCCACATACCTAAATGTCTTCTTTCAACCAATGTAATTGCTTTTCACATCGAAAACTCATTCTTTTAAAAGAAAAAATTATACTAAATAGTAGGCGCTGCATACCTATGCGTTAAAAACTTATATACAATGCACTTGTTCCTTGTTTTCTGGTATGACATCGGATTTACTTGCCTCTTATTTTGTTTTTGTTTGAATGAAATTGATAATTATGGATGGAGAGATTGTTCAATGTAAGAGTTTCGTGATGAAATAACGAAAACGGCCAATTTTATTTATTGATTACTGAATCTAAAATTGTAGTTAATTTGTACTGGGATTCAACCGATACGTAAATTTAGTAAACACCTTTATTTAGAGGGAACTGGTCACTCACAACGTTATAAACACGAGAAATTTCCATTATTTTTTTTTTCTAACAAAGAATTGGCATAGACGTAAACTTCCTGAAGACTACAGTACGATAAAGTTAAACTCGTATGAAAAGTAAAGCGTGCATGTTCGTCAGACCCAAGTGAAAGTGATTTGATGCACTTTTAATATTACTTAGAAAGAAAAAAAAACTAAACAAAACATGGAGCAGACTGCAATCGATTTCCAAGCTTCATTCATCCTATTAACATGAACTTCAGTTCCCAATGACAAGATTGAAACGTCTATTGAGACATGTCAGGAAAGAATTTACCTTCTCAGTAGGACCACCATAATGAGTTTTAAAACACATGAGAAAGAATTAAAATTCTCAAAAGAACTGTTAAAACGTTTGTTCGAACACTAACAAAGGAATAGGACGGTGAAAACGTTTGTCGAAATACTCGGTTAAGAATTTTAGTTCTTACTTGGATGGTTAAACCGTTTCTTTTTTGTATGGGCCCCCGTACGTCTGGGCGGAGGTGGGGGTATTTGCCTCAACACCCACCCCCAATTTCACCCAGTGCCGCCTTAAAAACATTGTAGGCTCTGGGCAAAGCATTGCACTGGCGCCCCCTACCAGCCCTAATATTCATTAACAATATGGGCATCACGATGCCCATATTGTTAATGAAAATAATTCTGCGGGCGCCCTGGTTTGTGGTTTGTTGGAACACTATTAGGAATTTCAGTTCTTAATTGGAAAGTTAAAACATTTATTGGAACGTTTTGTTAAGAATTTCAGTTCTTACTAAGATAATTAAAACTTTTGATGGAACGCTTTGTTAAGAATTTCGGTTCTCAATATGGCATAAAAACGATAGTTGGAACACTGGGAAAAAATAAAGTAGAAGGTAAAGCCTGAAACTGTTTACCTCTGTACATTGCACATACAACTGTGACTATGTGCATGGCTACGCTGCTTGTAGTTCGAGGCGAATTAACTATACATGAACAAGCACGGTGAAATAGAAAAACTTCGTACCTGGCAAAATGTCCATGATTCCAATATTGTTTGCACGACTTAGTGTGGTTCGCCTTTGTTTGTCTTTCAGACATCGTAGTTAAAATTTAGAGTTCCAAAGTGTATCTAAGTGTTGATTCACAATCATAGCCTTAGACATTTACAGGTACTTGAAAGGTGTCCCCCCCAAAAAACACCCACGAAACAAAAACTATTTGCTTGTTCTAATATCAGAGAACAAATTATCTGAGAATGGTCGTAGCGTTTCATTGATCGTTTAAAGAAGGACTGACGACTTTCAAGGGCAATAGCTTAAAGCAAACTTAACTATTTGTTTTTGGTTTTGCAAGGAGCGAAATTTCGTTTTGTTAATCGAAGAACAAATATTGTGTAGGCTAAAGCACGTCTAAGTGTAAAGTGTCATATCTAAGCTATAGGTTTAGATAAGTAATGTCCTGGATGGGGGTTGGGTGTGCTTGGTGGGGGTTGGGTGTTCTGGTTGGGGGTTGGGTATAACTTTTTAAGATATATTTCATGGTACGGTCGCATAAGTTTTCTTTTTGCCAAAGTATATCATGACAAACATTTACGTGATAATATTGTAACAGATATATCTTGTGTTTTCATATTTTTATCGCAAGTTGTGTTTCATTTTCTTGTACACAAAATAACGCAAGTTGTACTTTGTTTTTTTTTTTAAAAAATCATATCATGAGCATACACAAATGTGTTAGCACTAGAAGCATGGTGCATACTTTGCGAAAGTAAACGAGTTATGAGTCCATTTTTACTGACTAATAAACTTGCATTGGATGTATTTTAATTCCAGCAATGTTTGGATACCAGAACAGCCTATATTTCGCGCGTTAGTTCATCATCTTCAAATGAAATTGGACATTTACACCAAAAATTATTTTTTGGACACTTTTCTCCATCGCATTTTAGAACTTAACTTTGATTTGGCACATGACTGTCTAACATGGTAAAGCCATGATTGTCTGACATTTTCTTAAATCCAATGGATACACATATTCAGGCAAGATGCATGGTGTTTTCTTGCGTGTGCGATGAACGTTTGGCACAATTCCAAACCTTCGTTTGTCGTCTTTCAGAAGGGTTGGCACATATTATTCGGCCTCCGCCTGTGTGCACTTCGCACACGCAACCAGTCGGGTCTGTACATATTGATGATAAATACATATCAACCTTGCACACTAAATTTTTATATATATTATGCACACCCACCCACCCCTTTTCACTGACGTTTTGGATCCCTCATCCATAAAAAGGGTTAACACACAAATATGGTTTTATTTTTCAATTTTGCTTTGCTGGTCACATAACGATTTACAGAATAGTGATATAATTTTTTAAATCCATCAATCGTTTATCTATTATTTTATTATACACTTTAAACGGTTAAGTATTTGTCCGTCTGTATGTATGCCTGATCACATATGGGTCCAACTGCAAATTGTAAAGACCCGGATCTGCCGTCATTTAATGCATCAACAGATCTAGGTGCATGCACTTTTTTAGGACTTATCAGTATAGAAATATGTTGTTTGCAATTGGACCTGATTTATAAGTGAGTACATACGACAGAGAAACAGACAGACAGACATGAAAACCGCTCCGAAATTTTACACGAATTGTTTACCGCAGGTAGGATTATGATGATAAATGGTTTACAAAATATAGATCTTTAGAATTGCCTTAATTATAGATCTTCAAAAAGGACGTACTCAAACAAGTCAATAAAGTTAACAGTAAGCTTATCAAACTGGCCATATATACTACAAAAGAAGTACCGTAAAATGTTTACGAGCATGCATTTTTCGCAAATTTAGCAAAATAATTGAATTCAAACATTTTTGTTAAATAGTAATATGAAAATAATGTGGGTATTGCAATATTAAAAACTTTGTCTTCATTATCCTAAATTAACTAAATTCGTTAAAATTTCGACGGCAAAAATTATGATTTATGCAGCATTTTGAAGAAATTGTTTGAATTTACTAGAATATATTTCTAGTGATAGCAGTCTCTAGTGCAAACCAGTTCAGACGTATACGATGTAAAACAATTTGGCTCGTATCTTTGAGTTTGAATTAATGCTGCATTTAATATCTTAGTTTTGAAATTATACGGTAAACTTTTGAAGTCAGATTAAATGAAGTTGCGGGAGAACCTTAACACGACACCTGTAATTGAAGCGAAGTATACATGTGTCACATTTTATAAACTAAAGATTTGATTCTTTTAATCGTACATAACCACAAATGGAGTGGAATTTTAGAGACTAAAACATCGTATGTCATCAATGCTTATAAATTTATAGGCTTCTAAAATCATTTGGAGACTGTATCACACATCTTTTATAAGCAAGTTTTGACTTTTTAGACATGTTAATTTAAAATATGAAGTAGGTGCAATTTTCTTTCAATCCATATTTCAAGTTTGACCGTTCGGGTGGCCTAGTGGTTAGAGAGTCCGCCTCAGATGCGGTGTTTGCGGGTTCAAACCCCGGCCAAGTCATACCAAAGAATTATAAAAATGGTTCTAACAGCTGTCTCCCTAGGTACTCAGCATTAAGAGGCTAGTTTTAGGACTGGTCGGCTTGGTGTCAGGATAGTGTGATTGGGTGTCTGAGGCACGATGCCCCAGTGTTAGACATCACTATAAACTTCCACACTGCATACATCGTAGCGTTAGGACTGAAAATTGTTAAAGCTACGTTAAAAAACCAGATGAACACACAAACACACCAACACAAACACGCCACACACAGAGATAAACATATGATAGGTAAGGAATGAATTGCGACGTGAAAACTGTCACCTTGTGACGTATTTATACATTTACATGTCTTAATTATTGTATGATGCTACATGAAATAAACGGGCTGTTTTGTCTAACCGATTATTTATAGACTATTAATGATGTTGTCTCATTAACTTCTTTCAGGAAATAATTTGGTGTTTGGGATTATGAAAAGATATAGGACGCGTTATCCTTTCTGGTTGGGTGGGTTTAACATCATTTTCCAGCACATGAGAGGCTATACATGGAGCCAGTATATTTGGTGGAAGAAGAACCTGGGTAGTACCACTCACACATGGGAAACTACTTGCAAGCTTTCTCACACACCCACGCTGGCAAGGACGCGTTAATAAAATTCCAGATCTTTTAGAGTAAAAACATTGGCAATATAGTGACTACAATGATGGCTTCATTTTGGGATTATTCAGTACGTGATTCAAGGAATTTATTTTTGAGGAGTTCAAAACAAGCTGAAATTATGTATAACAAAGACGAAATCCAAGATGTGCACACCCACCCACCACACTAAATGCTATTAACAGTATTTAACTAAAACTGCACTCCTCTTGAAATGAACCATACTATCGAATATGTCAACAAAAGCAAACGAGAGAGAGAGAGAGAGAGAGAGAGAGAGAGAGAGAGAGAGAGAGAGAGAGAGAGAGAGAGAGAGAGAGAGAGAGAGAGAGAGAGAGAGAGAGAGAGAGAGAGAGAGAATACTTATTCGTACTCTAAATTAACTGGTTAACAAGGAACAATACAAAACTAATATTGTGACAGAAATTGATGATTTAGAATATATGCTATATAGAATGTACCTTCTTTACTGGTTTCTCAGATCAAATATGCTTATATTTATTTCAATATTCACGTATCAGTCTCTTTCATAATGCCTGCAATATTTCAATAGTCTTTAATTATAGGACCGAACGAATAGACCCGTTCCGCCTGGCCATGTGTGAAAGAGAATACAAAGATGTATTGAAACGATAAACTACTTCTATTCATTATATTTTGAATCTCGACCTTGGGAAACACTTACCATTCTCGAAATACATACCTGCCAATTAGTTCTCAACTTAAAACCTGTTTTTATGTTTATACAAGAGGTGTTAAGTTCAGAAAAATGAAACAGGAATAAATATGGATATCAGATGAAACCAGGAACAAAACAGTACAATGAAGTAATTGTAGGTTTTGTGTGCTACAAGTTGAATATGGACCTATATGAATAGATATAATTTAAACTAGAGCACTTATTATTATTTCACTTTTACGAGTATATATTGTTAGATTTGCAACATAAATTTTTCGATGGCAATAATAATTGACATGTAATGGTATGTAAACGTTTCTTTGACCAATATGAGAGAGAGAGAGAGAGAGAGAGAGAGAGAGAGAGAGAGAGAGAGAGAGAGAGAGAGAGAGAGAGAGAGAGAGAGAGAGAGAGAGAGAGAGAGAGAGAGAGAGAGAGAGAGAGAGAGTTGGAAGATTTGTTTAAGCCGATGCTTATAAATCTTAATTTCCAAGAAGGATTTTTTCAACAAACTAGTTTCATGTTAATCAAACATTGCTGAAATGCTACCAATACATGTCTATGATTTTATCTTAAAAAGGCAAATAAGTCCAATAATTTTGACTTAAATAGTGAAATTACTGGATAACATTCCCTGCAGAACATTTCCACATAAACGTGTATTACTTCCTTTGACAGTCGTCTGTATAGAACATGTTTAATTTTTCAAAAGGCAGGAAGCGATGCCAGTGATAAATACGTCGAGACTGATCAAAACCTTTTTTTTTATAAAATCAATAATTTTACTTCTTTGCACATAAAGTTGTCACATTCGAGGATTTTCCTACTGATTATTCACCAAATTAATAGATTTTCAGAGAATCTGACAATCTAAAGTTTTTTTTTTTAAAATTAATTCGAAACCTGTGGAATTTGGCTTCACATTCAAAAATTTTCTATACATTTTTTGGCCACTTAAATGTAAAGATTTCATCCTTTGGTAGTTATGAGATTATCAAGGTAAACATCTGTATCTTTGCTAAGTGGTAATATTTTAAAATTGCTGGCAAGTTTTACGCCCTCGTTTTATTCGTGATTTAGTATGGTATCAATTTTCTTATCAATCCCCCTTCTGTTTTACATAATAAATACATATGTATAAATAAATTGCAGTAGGGTATTGAATAACAAAACTTAAGCATGTACGATATTGAATCTGTATTATTCTGTCACATTTGCAATAATAATAATAATAATAATAATAATAATAATAATAATAATAATAATAATAATAATAATAATAATAATAATAATAATAATAATAATAATAATAATAGCGAAGTTAATAATGTGTGATGAATTAAGTAGTCATTCGTTTGCATGAAAAGAATTATTTATAAAAGTGAGCAAAACATCTGCCTGTCTTGTCTTGAACAATACTATTTCGGGCGTTGCTTCTGCGAGTAGAATGAATGATCTTTCCAAGATATGTAATGTATCACATGTGTAATTAAAAATAGGTTTACATCAAAACGGAGCTGTACTGGCTTTCGTTCGTATGTCCAACATTTCGAGTTAATTATACTTTATTGTAGGAAATATAAAAATATAATGACAGCAATTTCCTACAAATATACAGTGTATATATATATATATATATATATATATATATATATATATATATATATATATATATATATATATATATATATATATATATATATATATATATATATATATATATAAAATCTGTTTTATATTTTACACAATTAGCTTTCCAAAGATCGCGAGAGAAATTCCTGGCATCAAAACTAAATGGAGATCGCTGACCTTGGGACATATTTTTCTCACCAATAGCAACATAAGAAAAATTACGAAGACGTCGACTGAAAAAGTTGGATATTCTGACGAAGCTGCATCGACGAGATTTTGCATTCACATATGCTTCATTAAATTAGAATCCGACTTTTCAAATTTTCATTAAGTTGTCCATTCAGAGGTCGTCCGCTAAAAATAAGCACTTTCAGACGGCATAATGGCTTTCCTCAGATAGGAACACGTCTGAAGAGTAATCCACCAGCAGGCATTGATGTCCTCTTCTCCAATCTCCTTTAGGGCGAGTTCTTTGGCTTTCATCAACTGGACTGTATTAATCGATCTAAGCCATTTATCCAGCTTTAGTTTGTGTTTCTCAATCTCCGTTTTGTCATCTTCTTGGTTGGTCCCAGAGTTTGTTTTCTCTTTGTTTGCCGTTGGTGGTGGACCTGGGTCAACATGTTTTAGTTTTAGTTGACTTAAAGCATGATGAACGACAGACATGTTCCTCAAAAGGCCGTTATGGCCGCGACGAAATGCTCTTGCCGTCCTCACCAGCCGATCTGTATGCTGATGGTCTTGGTTTGAGCTAGTAAAATGAACCATTGACATATATTCCTCAGGGTTTTCTCGAATAAATTTCAAGTATTCTACCAAAGGTTTGTGATCTACACGCACTTCGTCAAAATCATCAGTGGGTTTCTTTTTTAATTTTTGAGGCTTTTTTGCAGCAGTGGTGGTTGCTGCTTTTGGGAGACGGTCTTCTTGTTGAACAGAGTCTTGATCTGCTAAACTTGGGAAGTCAGACAAGTTTCCTGTAGAAAGAAAGACACCCTGACTTTTCATAAGCTGGTTTGAATCAGTACTATTTGTTGACTTTTCGTGCTCTTGTGCAATGTCAAGATCCATTTTCGCTCTAATTGCATTTAGTTTGGACTTCCACAAAGCTCTCTGTCTAGCTTTAGCTGTATCCTCCACCTCGTAACCCGCATCACGCAATACTATGTCGTGTGAACTGAAGAAGTTCCTTTTTGGAAGAAAATATTCCAGCTCATCCCGGCTAAAAGACGATGGCCTAGCAAAGGAAGTTCTCCCTCTCTTCCATGACATAGGCCGAGGGTTAGCCACTGAACTCTTATATTGAGACGATAGCGAACTTTGTTCAGTTGCTTGTCTTTGGAATTTTTTATAGTGTTCTTCATTATTTTCTTTCATTTCATTTGACGTCTGCGTCATCCTGCTGTCATATACATCTCCGTTACTCTTAGGAGTTGTGATATAAATGTCTTCAGTTTTGCTCCTTTTCAGTTCGCTTGCTAAATTACCAGCATCATTTTCCTTTCCGGTGATCATATCCAAAAGTCCATTAATATTTCCATTTTGTTTTTCTTGCAGGGCATATCGATTTTGTTGGTCCGGTGGTAAATTGTCCCATTGTTTGTCTTGAATGATACTGGTGTTTCGTTTGCTTGAGGAAACTTGGTTTATCCTCGTTATAACTTCTGACTTTTTACTGCCACTTTCTTTAGATCGTTCCAAGAGGCGACCTGAATCCAGACCTTTGTTATCACTTCTTGTCTTGATGTTTAAACTGTAATTCTGTGTGTTTTCACTTTCATGTGAAATGGGTGTTGATTCACTTTCTTCTTGTATCTCCTCTAACACAGTTTCTAGTTGTTTACCACTTCCTTTGTCCATTTTAATTCCCTTTATGTCACTATTCAACACACATGAGGGCTTCTTTTGCACAGAAGCATTAACCACTCGTATTCGTTGGTTCCAATCCTACAAAAATATGGATATCCTTGTATTGTTTCTCTCTCTAATTGCTGAATTCTCGCTATTTTGCGCAAACAAGATGATTCTTGTAAAACAATAATTTTGT